GCGTCCGCCCACCCCACGCCCCACTCTGTTCCGTCCCCGCTCGCCCTTCGGGCCCCTCCCGACATGCCTCTACATTGCAGGGGGGTCTCTTGCCGAGGGCCATGTCTCCAGAAACAGGGGCTGTTAAGGAAATTTTGTTATTAAATTTCATCCAGTAAATAGGTATTTGGGTAATCATTGTAATACTCCGCTCATTTTCACACACTTTTTTAAATGTTACATATTATTGTCATAAACAACATATTCATTTGTATGATTTCTAATCGTTGAATGAAGAAAACATCAGTACAACAATGGAAATCCTAATGACAATAAAATAATAATAAATAAATAAAGCGCTTTGCAATGTTCGCATAGCAAGTGCCTTACTGGAGACATAGACACATAGCAAGTCAAATTAATCGCAATGTCCTACAGACGAGTTTTTCACAAGCAATATTTCATTGACGTTTAGTGAATTATGGTACAGATTTATATTTCAACAATAGTCCAATGTAACTTCAGTCGTAAAATGTGTCGTATAATGACAAAGGATACTTGAAATACAACAGAACATTAAAGATCGGGATGGGAAGTCTAAAAGTATCCCTGAAGAATATAAATCATAATATATCACTACTTCCGATTTTACAGACTTCACTACGTTGTATAAAGTGACAATGGTTATGTCCAGACTACGTCAATTCTACGCTAAATGTATTTCCTACAGCCACCATGACGTATGAAATAAAATCGAGGAAAAATAAAATATACGAACAGAAATTTATTATGATTGAATATTAATTATCAATCGTTACGTAGTCGATTACGCCAGAGAACTCTTGAACGACATTTTAATAAGCGAATTTATCATTTGCATTCAATATAAAAAATAAAATATGAACAATTACTCAATGTGGTAATTACATTCAAGAGATTTAATCGATGGAATATACACTAATGAAAGAGTACATCTCTGTCGTAATTACTAATTTAACTCAACAAAAAATGAAGAGAAATTCATTCAAATAAACGACACGTAGTGGTTCATAACTAGAATTTCATTTAATGTGGCACTCAATATGATAGTAAAACGTAAATCTACATAAAAACTGGGGTTTTGCTCAATACTCAAGGCCATTTGTGTTACAAATCTCGGTTTTATTGAAATCAAATTCTCATACAAAATACACACTGGCTTCCCTGGAAAACATCTCTCTAGTGTGTTCACAAAATGTCTTCAATGAAAACTGAAAGTATCCGTTTTATATTTGTTCAGTAAATATTATTGCTTTCAGCTGCAATCTCCGTAGAAAATGCAAACACTTTCAGTTCATTAAATGCTTTCACTGCTTTGAATTAACCTCATTTGCTATGGAAACTGATAATGTAAATAATGGGTTCTTATATATCGAAATCCTTTGAAACCTAACATTTAAACATTAATATTCCAAATTATTAAACGCACCGGTATCATTGCATTTTTAAATTTAGATTCTATAACAAAATTATGAAAACCTGTCATGTTGGATATCTCTTTGTAATGTTTAATGTAGTTTGAGGTTTCCAATATGTTCATGAAAAACAATGTAGATCTGAAAAGAAATTGTCCTACTGCCCAAAAAAGTTATTATCTCGACTTTACATTAATTCAGGGTATGTTTAATACTTTGTTGGACGACTTTATTGATCGACTCTTGATGGTGGCTACTTTCAAAGCACATCTGGATATTATCTCCTCGTTCCCCTCCATTTTTACTATTTAATATTTCGTTACATTTTATAGCACGGGAAAATGGTAAAACAATTACAAAATGAAGGTGTCGTTACGAAAATATAGGGTAGACTTTCCATGAATCCAGCTGACTTGGTGACGACAAAACCGTTTAAAAAAATACACTACCAAACATGATAGAATTACGGTTGCAGTCTGCTGCACCACCGAGGTGCCGCCTCTTCGGAACTCGTTAAACAAAATCCGCTTTAGCGCGTTTAAAATTAAACCAGTAGGACAGTGTCCGGTTTAAGTGAATGGTCTATCTATTATTTATTTTCATTACAAAAACATGAGTTTGTTTTTAATTCACAACACCGTAATTCTTTAATTCAGCACTCTTGACACAAATCACGGTGGTGTTGCTATCAAATGCTCGTACCAAATTCACCTTTAGAAGACTTCTGGGAATTGAATAATCCAACGATTTTATTAACGATTGGCAATGAAGGGCTGTGAATATTCATTTTATATTTAGACACGAAAAGTATGCTTCTGAATGTGGAAGAATACTTAAAGAATCTTGTTTTTCATACTTGCAAAAATTACGTTTTTATTCAACGTAATGCTATTGTAAAATAATCTAGTAGTACTCGAATATTTTTGGGAAACCAGTTGCATCAATCCACTTCATGCAATTAAAGATTTAAAGAATTACAGCAACACCTCATTTTGGGAATTTGTTATCTAAACGACAAGGGAGAAAGTTTCTTTTAATGAAAGTCTAAGTTGACTCCGAACTCCAAGAAACTCTCTCTTGCATTCGACGACAGGAACAAATTTCACGACTCTGAACGTGTAGCCTGCGGCATTTCAGGGGTGTCCTCCATTTGCATAATCGTGACTTTTCCTGGCCCTTTCTCAACAAGAAAGGCGATCTTCTATTGCAAAGAAGTCGCATCAGCTGTGTGCCAATTTCCTCAAGCCCCTGTCCGCATTGTTTAGTAAGGAGAAAAATAATTTCGGAATAACTCCTTGAAAGTTTCTCTCAGAACTTCGAGGGGAAATTTCCTTAAACTTTAAGCCGAGAACATCCCGGGTCGAAACCAACGTGCAAACGCAGGGCGGCCTGACGCACGTCTGCGACCGCCAACGCCGCTGATACCTCCGCCGCCGCCACTGCCGCCGTTCCCGCTTTCTAATATCAACACCTCAAAATTTTAAAACGTAATCTTTCGCTATCTGGCCGGGTGCGCCGCAGAAGCGCGCCCTGGGGAAGCCTGGCAGTTCTGCAGTAATTAGAGACTATGCGTAAATTTAATTGAACTCGGATGAGGCGCCGCGGCCCGACGGTGTCTACCCTCTTCCCCGCTCCTCCCCGCGCCCGCCTCGCCAGCGTCGTGCCCACTCTGCCTCCAGCCACCCCGCGCCGCCCGCGCCCGACCCCAAGCTGCCCGCGCTAACCTGAGTCAGGGGACTACTTCAGGGCGCGGATCCCGCCGCCGCCGACGCCTCTGCGAATGCAACATTAAGCAGAATACACCGCCGTTACCGACTATGAGCCCTAATTAAAGTTTTATCTGGGTGCTGAGTGATGTACGGTGACCACGGTCGGCGGCAGAGAAGCACGCGGCGAGGAGAAAGAGGGCGAAGGCAGGGGTCGACGCAAGGAGCGGCGAAGAACGGGAAGGAATACGAGGGAAGGGCTGGGCGGGTAGAAAAGGG